TTTTTTTTTTTTTTTTTTGTAATTGCAAAGTAATGTCAATTTCGCCACATTGGTATGCTTTCAGCTCAATACATATCTTGGTCGTAATAAATTAGAGAATAAAAATGGCATAGGAGTAGGCAGTAGTAGTACAAGGGCGCGTATGTATTATTTGTGTACTCCTGAAGTGAGCCTCGTGTACTCTACTGCCAAAATTAGTTGATTTGGCATGAATATGAAGTGCTACCAAAACCCACCAAATTGTATGTATATATACATACATACATACATTTCTGTTAACTTATCACCATAGGGTAGGATATAAGACACTAGAAAATTGTCAATACGTGGTCCTAAAGCACAACAATCTATTTTGTTTTGCACCGTTGAGTGGCTTAAAAGTGTTACTAAAGAAACTCCATGCATAATCTAACTACAATTCTTACACTAAGTTTATTGCTCCAACTGAGGACTATAAGTACCTATGGCAATGTTCCTCATCTCTACAAACCTAATTAACATATAATCAATACAATTAGTCTTACACATAAAATTACACGTACGTGATGGCTCTCCGAATGATTTGTTCTTTGATTGTTTTATTTTTAGTCATGATTTCTCAGTCGGGAGCTGTTCTTGATTCACATTATTACGACCAAACATGCCCTCAGGCCGAAAGTATCATAAGCCAAGTCGTTCAAGATGCTATCACTAATGATCCTAGAGTCCCCGCCCGAATCCTCAGAATGTTCTTTCACGATTGTTTCATTCGGGTACGTACATATATATAATCTATTTGTTCATTTGAATTATTCGATTTTAGATGCTCAACTTTGAAATTTACTCAAATTTATTAAGAATACATGCATGCATGTGTACATTTTTTTTGTTATTGTTACAAATTGCAACATAACTTCAATCAATGAGTTATATAGTAGTATTGTTAGATAAAATGTTTTGCATATATAAATTACCTATTTGCAATCTTTAAACGGAATTAACATGTCCTAATACAATTAATATATTTAATTTTTTTCACTAATTATGTTTTGTTAGGGGTGTGACGCGTCGGTACTGCTGGACTCGACACCCACCAACACGGCCGAGAAAGATGGACCTCCAAACATCTCACTCGCTGCATTTTATGTGATCGATAATGCAAAAACAAAGCTCGAAGAGTCTTGCCCGGGGACTGTCTCGTGTGCCGATATACTAGCAATTGCCGCAAGAGACGTCGTGCATATGGTAATCAATATCGTATTTTCTACTTAATTATCAATATTAATTTGAAAGTCGACTGTAAATAAGAAAGAACAGTACAAGACTAATTTACCGTACAACAAATATGGTCAAAAGCCGGTCTGGGGCAATTCCAGTTCAGAACCGCTCGTTCACGATTCAAACTTTTGTTGAAATTGGACCGGACTGAGATTAGCACAGGGCTGATTCAAGAATGAGCGGTCCTGGTTCTGAATCAACTCTGCGGTTCAGGACCCATTTGAGTCTGAACCATATAATTTAAAAAAAGAAAAAAATCAAAATCAAAATTCAAATTTTTAATTTAAAATTTTGGCACTGAATTGTTGTTTCTGATTCGGAACCAAAACCAGCAGTTCAATATTTTATAAATTATGAATCGGAACCGGCCCAGACCAAGCGGCGGGCCGGTTCACGAACCGTGATCAACGATCCGGGTCGATTCGTAGCCATGACTACCATAGGGTCACAGATAAAAGTTATAAAGTTATGACTTGGGATTATTTGACAAATAAACTAGCTATAGATTATATGATTGAATTCGTCCAATGTGTTGTATTGTTTTTGTGTTTATAGTCGAGGGGACCCAAATGGGCGGTGCTAAAAGGGCGAAAAGACGGCATAATATCACGAGCAAACGAGACGGTAAACCTCCCGGCCCCATCCTTCAACATCTCCCAACTCATCAAGAGCTTCGCCCAACGTGGCCTCTCCCCAAAGGACTTGGTAGTCCTATCCGGTGGCCACACCCTCGGCTTTTCCCACTGCTCCTCCTTCTCGGGCCGCCTCCGAAACTTCAGCCCTGCCCATGACACCGACCCGACCCTCGACCAAAAGTTTGCTATTGGGCTGAAGCACAAGTGCCCGAGGAACAACACGGATCACAATGCAGGGCAGGTCCTGGACTCGACCTCCTCAGTTTTCGACAATGATTATTATCGGATGATTTTAGGAAGGAAAGGGGTGTTCGTGTCGGACCAGTCGTTGAAGTCGGATCACAGGACGGGGCCCATGGTGGAAGCGTACGCGTGGGACCAAGCTTTGTTTTTTAAGGACTTTGCTGAATCAATGGTGAAGCTTGGGAACGTTGGGGTGGTGGAGAATGGGGAAGTCAGAAAGAGTTGTAGGGTTGTGAATTAATTAAGAGACATAAATACTAAATGGATTTGTGTAATTTTTTTTTTTTCTTTAATTTTACGGGGGAATTGATTTGGAGTCTAATTGGTTCATCATGAGGGTAATCATGGACTGTTGTTTTGTTCATGGTGTGTTGTTTAACGGGACCCAAGTGAAAGTGTTATTGAAATAAAAAGTTCTAATAAATTTAGTGGACTTACTCATAATTATCAAACGAAATTGATGAATAGGTTCTATTGTATCATTCATTTACAAAAGCA